GAGTGCTGTAGGTATGCATACAGATCAATGACCGGCCGACTCAGCAGAAATGTCTCAGTATAAAGGGACCGACTCAGCAGAAATGTCTCAGTATAAAGGGACCGACTCAGCAGAAATGTCTGAGTATAAAGGGACACTGGACCCGGTTTACAGCCAGTGCAGCTCCCCACCAATAGATTGGACACATCATAGTACACTACGGACTTGATGTGGGAAGGCTGCTCCTATCAGCCCGATTCAAGTGCATTTTATTCCAGTCCCTGCTCTTTCGGGCTAAATGGATGGGATGGGGGTACTACGGTGCTGAATGCTTATGTAAATATGTAAATATGTAAATGAAGCTGGACCCATTTTTCAGCAGGTGCTGTTCCCCCCGAATAGTATCTGGGGCCTCCCTGGATCTACTATTGGGGGCTGCTCATACCACCCTCAATAGTAGATCCCAGGGCAAAAAAAAAAAAACAGAAAAAAAGGTTCAAGACCGAACTTAAAATTGACCACATGCAAAAGATGATCAAAAAAAAAAAAAAAAAAAAAAAAAAAGATCATTGCTTATCAGATAGTAGAAAACACAAACAACTTCGCCTATGGTTGTGGCGAGGAAAAAAAAGCCCTCCTGGGGGAGTGTGGAATACCATGAGCCAATACAGACCCCTCTCCTCTTTCTCTCGCATCTCTGCCCACTACGGTCTTCCCCGAACATAACGCACCCTAAAAATGAATGTATACAAGCTATATTTCCGGCCAGTTACAGCCAAAATAAGGGTGTGTTGTGTTAAGGTTTTATTGTGTTTACTGGCTCTGTCTTGTTATGGTAACAATGGGCCTTGCAAAACAAGAGTGAATCTTCCGCTAGAACATGGACAGATGCACCGCCATGAATTTCGTCTTTTGTGCATGTGGAGAGCAGTGGAGCCACATCCAATGACAGAGGTAAATCTTATAAGTTATAACCTTTTGGTTCAGTCTTTTTTTTCTCTTTTTCTTTTCTTCTTTTTTCCTATCGTGAGCAGGACATCTCTGATCTCTGTTGATTCCCAAAAAAAAAAAAAAAAAAAGATCTCTGTTTGATCATGTAACATGAGAGATCATATATATTTTCCTCGCGCATGTGTTATTCCCTCCCAGTTTTGAATGAATTCGAATTCGCCCCTTTGGACTGGGGTGAGCTTTGGACAGACGGTGGAATACTATTGGGGACAGTTCTCTCGATAGGCCGCAAGCCTATGTTGACATTACGAGCAACAGTGCTGTGGCATCTTTGGCGGCAAAGAAAAGACATTGTGCTGTGAATGGCCGATAAGTCAGAAAGGCGCATTGTGCTTTGGGGTTGTGGGTTCAAAGCCTCGCACATGGACACCGGTGGGCATTGACCGACGCTCGACCATTCACACACTAACCCCTTCTTGGGGTGGTGACATTGCCTGTACACCCCAAGGAGTTTCATCCATCATGATGGTTGTATGCTTGGGTCTAGACTATGAGACGTTTGCCTGATGTTCTTGGTCCATGGGTTGTTCCGATGATTGCACAGTTGTCCGCCTGTCTAGTGCAGCGCATAAACAAACTTGGTGTCATTGTAGCTCTGTAGGTTTGAGCTGGGGACTTCATGGAAGTGGTTGAGGGATTGAAAATGGATCACATTGAACAGAGATATACAGAGTGTTGGTTGTATATCCTCCTAGTACGTGGTCGGTCATGGATATCTTGTTCTAACGGAACACGCTCCAGGTATTAGCTCTGGATTCAGTTGAGGCTGGCATAGCAGCATGGTTGCACCGGACACGGACACCTGGACAACCGGACACAGTCACCGGACCCGTGTCTGGATTAAACGGGACATCTAACCGGACATCCGGGCAACCAGACCCGGACAGTCCGGTTGGGTGTATTAGTGTCCGGTTGTCTGGTTAAAATAAAATAAATAAATAAATTAAAAAAATGGCACACATGACACGAACACGGACACACACACAGGTTTGTGGGACTGGTCCAACATGGTAATAAAATTGGAAATATAAACGTACGAAGTTCAAAGTTCGGAACTTCCGAAGTTCTTCACAGAACACTGCGGCTGCTACTGCCCTCCGAAGTTCCCCAAGAGCGGGCCCTTCAGGGCCGGTCCGGATGGGGTGCTATCTCGTGAAACTACGAGATAGCTGATAGACGGAAGGTCGGTTAAGGTGAGTAGGTCAGGAGGACGATGCTGGGACGACATAGGCCGGTGCTGGAGCTTTGCTCTGTGACCCAGGGGGAGCTTGAGGTCTATGGAGTTATGCCGAGGGTGGAAGGCGTAACCAGATCGTCCAACGAAGTTGGCGCCGGGGTCTGGACCATGTAACCTGTTTAGGGGTTTGCCGCTAAAGGAATTGTCGAGGGGGGAAGGCACTTCCTGTCCGTCAGAACTAGGTTGGTCGGTACCGGGGAGGGTTGTGGTGCCCTGTTACCCTAGCAGAGGGGGGTATGAGACCAGGTGAGTTCTGGTACGAGGACTGAAAGCCGGGACCGACGGTCCGCTTGTTGAGAGGGGGATTTTTAGGATAGTGGTAGTGGTCATTAATTTCTAGTTTCGACCCCCTCTTTCTAAATTCTATCCTGTTGGCCGTTAGGGGGTTTTGAGAATGTTTAGGATTCTGGGGCCTCTATCAACTTTTCCTACGCTACTTTGAAGTTGTTATACTCAGCGATCTGCGGCTGTTCGATGCCAGAACGACGCTGGTCGGTGCTGGGGTGTTGCCCTGTAACCTGTTGACACGGGAGCGTGAGGCCTGGTAGAGAGATCTGGGGATGCTTTGGGGTGGGTATCTCACGGAACAACCAAGGTTTGCTGCTGAGACGACGCTGGCCGGAGCTGGGGCGAGTTGTGTTGTCCTGTAACCCAGCAGAAAGTGGGGGTGTGAGGCCTGGAAGAGCTCGGCAGGGAGTAAGACAACTTTGAGGAACTCTGGAAGGGCTTGACAGGGAGCTTGAGATTTCTTTTACGACCCCAGCGGTCTATTCAAAAAGGAAACGAGGTGAGTGGGAGAAGGAGATGGGGGGATATCATGCGTCCTACTAGTGAGGGGGCTAACTGGTAGGATTGAAATAGGGTATAGCAGCAGTAGAGATGGTGGCTCTGCTGCAGTAAGTCTTGCCGGAGTGTGGAACAGGGGATTGATGGAGGGGGTTCTTCTGAGTTGGATTTTGAATCCTGCCTATTCTTAAAGCTTGTTGTAGTCATCTCCTAAGTAGCTCCAACTTTTTGAGCTAAAAAAGAACGAGGTAAGTGGGGAAAGAGATGGTGGGGTATCACGCGTCCTACTAGTGAGGGGGCTAGCTGGTAGGATGGGAATAGGGTATAGCAGCCGCGGAGATGGTGGCTCTGCTGCAGTAAGTCTTGCCGGAGTGAGGTAAAGTGGATGGATGGAGGGGGTTTCTGAGTAGTTCTGAATTCTGTTCACATTCTGAAGTTTGTCGTGGTTATTTTCTAAGTAGCTCCAATTTTTCTGATCCAAAGCCGGGTAATGGCCCCGGCATCTCAATTTTTCAAAATTGTATGTAAATTTCCATATGGGACATTGGGCCCGGTTCCCAACACGTGTTGCTCCCCACGAATAGATTGGAGCCTTGTTCCCATTAATAATAATAATAATAATAAATAAATAAATAAAAGGAGGCAGTTGAAGGTAACTGCCCCCCTAAGTGTGTGGTTGAGGTGCGGCCATACTGTGCCCTTGATCTTGCCTCAGATCGGGGGCTCAGGCTGAGCCGCGATTTTGCCTGAGGGCGGAATTGCTGGACAGCTCCCTCCAGCAACATTTTTCAGGGGTACCCCAGGCCCAGGAAAATGGCCTGGGGACCCCAATTTTCTTTTTCGAATTTCTTCACATCAGGGTCCAACCGGACCCTCCAAACCGAACACCAGACACCGGACTATCTGGATCGGGATCCAGACGTCCAGTTGGCAACCATGCATAGCAATTACCTTAGTATGGACTTGTGGGTACTGGAATGGGCTCTAGTGGTGGATTTGGGGGGTCCAGATGTGGCTGGCATAGCTTTTACCTTAGTACTGACTTGTCGGGGTACCGGAACAGGCTCCAGGTACTGGTCAAGCGTTCAAGTTGTGTGGCTGGCTTATCCGTCACCTTTTTTTTTCCAAAGAAGAGCAAAGTAGTAACTCGTGTGCCAATGTTATCGCCCTCAGGCCCCACCAACACAGTATCCAATGTCGCTCATCTTCATCTCGCGCCCAGTGCCCAGCCTAGCCTATCTAGCCTATCTATGTCCTTTTTTTTTTCTTCTTTTTCTTCTTCTTTTTTTTTTTCTTTTTTTTTTTTT